GGTGGGATCGCAGGTGGGAGCCACCGTGCTCAGCTTCACTTGCTTTCTGTAAGTGATACTGACAAGCTAGCTGATTAGTTCCACGTGCACTTATTGAGCGCCTATTGTATGCCACAGCTGAGACCCAGCTAGGAACCGGTCAGAGAAAGCCCTGTGCCCTCGTGAAGCTGGCCGTGTGGCAGGGGCAGCAGTGAGGTACACAGTCTATCAACAGCAGTAGGTGTCGATGAGAAAACCTGTGTGGAGAGAAGAGGAGGTGTGTGGTGTTGGGGAGGTGGGAGGGGCAGCCCCACTGAAGGGGACTGAGTGAGGGCCTGGAGGAGCCCGGGGCAGGCAGGAGAGGCAGGGACTGCTGTCCAGCTGAGTGGGGACCCTGCCTTCCAGGCCTCGGAGGCCAGGGTCAGGACCTGTCATTTACCTGTGGGCTGGGGCAGGGGAAGGATGTCACCCTAGGTTGGGCACCTGCCCCAGGGGTCCGGGAGGGGGCTGACGGCAGGAGCTGGAGCCCGTGAGCTGAGGGGAGGGGATGGGAGCCAAGTGGCTGATTTGAGAAATGTTTAGAAGGCAGAGCTGATAGTATTTGCTGCCACCCTAGAGGTGGTGTGAGAGAGGAAGATGGTGGGGATGACGCCCGGGTCTTGTGAGATGGGGGCTGGTCAGGGGGACCAAGATTTTGGATTCAGTGCCAGGGGAGGTGGCTCACTCCTGGAATCCCAGCGCTTTCAGGGGCCGAGGTGGGAGGATCACTTGAGGATCACTTGAGAGCAGTGTTCAAGACCAGCCTGGGGAATATCGTGAGATGCTATCTGTACAAAAAATAAAAAATAAATTAGCTGGATAAGGTGGCGTGAGCTTGTGGTCCCAGCTTCTCGGGAGGCTGAGGCAGGGGGATTGCTTGAGGCCAGGAGGTCGAGGCTGCAAGGAGCCAAGATTACACCGCTACACTCCAGCCTGGGCGACAGAGGGAGCCCCTTTCTCAATTAAAAAAAAAAAAAAGGAGAGGAGATTTGAGACCCTGGAACTGAGCCAGGACATCCCCCATCCTGTGGGAGGTAAAGCCGCAGGAGGGGTGGGGGTCTCCTGTTTCAAAGGTGCGCAAGAAATCCAGTGAGGTGGCCCTGGGCAAAAGCTCCGGCTCAGATGTTTCTGGAGAGTCAGGATGGACAGGATCAGGGTATTTTGGAGTTTCACCCAATTTTCATTGTAATTCTGGAAGAGGTTTGGGCGTGGTGGCTCACACCTGTAATCTTAGCACTTTGGGAGGCTGAGGCAGGCAGATCTCTTGAGACGAGGAGTTTGAGACCGGCCTGGCCTGGCCAACATAGTGAAACCCCATCTCTACTAAAAATACAAAAATGAGCCGGCCGTGATGGTGAGTGCCTGTAATCCCAGCTACCTGAGAGGCTGAGGCAAGATAATCGCTTGAATCCAGGAGGCGGAGGTTGCAGTGAGCCGAGATCCCAGCACTGCACTCCAGCCTAGTGACAGAGCGAGACTGTCTCAAAAAAGAAAAGAAAAGAAAGGAAATTCTGGGAGACAGTGTGGACTACGGGAGGGTTTTGTTTTTTTTAGAGGCAGGTCTCACTCTGTTGCCCAGGCCGGAGTGCAGTGGTGCGATCTCCACTCATTGCAACCTTTGCCTCCTGTGTTCAAGGGATTTTCTTGCCTCAGCCTCCCGAGTAGCTGGGATTACAGGCATGAGCCACCTCGCCTGGCTAGTTTTGTATTTTTAGTAGAGACGGGTTCTCCATGTTGGTTAGGCTGGTCTTGAACTCCCGACCTCATGTGATCTGCCCACCTCAGCCTCCCAAAGTGCTGGGATTGTAGGTGTGAGCCACTGCGCCCAGCCTCTCTTACTATTTTGGGCATGTTGCCTCTAGTTTCTTCCTTTTTTTTTTTTTTTTTTTTTCCTGAGACGGAGTTTCACTCTTGTTACCCAGGCTGGAGTGCAATGGCGCGATCTCGGCTCACCGCAACCTCCGCCTCCTGGGTTCAGGCAGTTCTCCTGTCTCAGCCTCCTGAGTAGCTGGGATTACAGGCATGCGCCACCATGCCCAGCTAATTTTTTGTATTTTTAGTAGAGATGGGGTTTCACCATGTTGAGCAGGATGGTCTTGATCTCTTGACCTCGTGATCTACCCGCCTCGGCCTCCCAAAGTGCTGAGGTTACAGGTGTGACCACCCCGCCCTGTCTAGTTTCTTTTTTTCTTTTGAGACCGGGTCTTCCTCTGTTGCTCAGGCTGGAGTGCCGTGGGGCGCTCATGGCTCACTGCAGCCTCAACTTCCTGGGCTCAAGCAATCCTCCCACCTCAGCCTTCCAAGTAGCTGGGACCACAGGGCTGTGCCACCGTGCCCAGCTAGTTTTTGCGTATTTTTTGGTAGAGATGGAGTCTCACTCTGTGGGCCAGGCTAGTCTTGAACTCCTGGCCTCGAGCAGTCCTCCCACCTCAGCTGCCCAGAGTGGTGGGATCGCAGGTGGGAGCCACCGTGCTCAGCTTCACTTGCTTTCTGTAAGTGATACTGACAAGCTAGCTGATTAGTTCCACGTGCATTTATTGAGCGCCTATTGTATGCCACAGCTGAGACCCAGCTAGGAACCGGTCAGAGAAAGCCCTGTGCCCTCGTGAAGCTGGCCGTGTGGCAGGGGCAGCAGTGAGGTACACAGTCTATCAACAGCAGTAGGTGTCGATGAGAAAACCTGTGTGGAGAGAAGAGGAGGTGTGTGGTGTTGGGGAGGTGGGAGGGGCAGCCCCACTGAAGGGGACTGAGTGAGGGCCTGGAGGAGCCCGGGGCAGGCAGGAGAGGCAGGGACTGCTGTCCAGCTGAGTGGGGACCCTGCCTTCCAGGCCTCGGAGGCCAGGGTCAGGACTTGTCATTTACCTGTGGGCTGGGGCAGAGGAAGGATGTCACCCTAGGTTGGGCACCTGCCCCAGGGGCCCGGGAGGGGGCTGACGGCAGGAACTGGAGCCCGTGAGCTGAGGGGAGGGGATGGGAGCAAAGTGGCTGATTTGAGAAATGTTTAGAAGGCAGAGCTGATAGTATTTGCTGCCACCCTAGAGGTGGTGTGAGAGAGGAAGATGGTGGGGATGACGCCCGGGTCTTGTGAGATGGGGGCTGGTCAGGGGATCAAGATTTTGGATTCAGTGCCGGAGGAGGTGGCTCACTCCTGGAATCCCAGGGCTTTCAGGGGGCCGAGGTGGGAGGATCACTTGATACCAGGTGTTCGAGACCAGCCTGGAAAATATTGTGAGACGATATCACTACAAATAATAAACAAAAAATAAATTAGATGGATAAGGTGCCGTGAGCTTGTGGTCCCAGCTTCTTGGGAGGCTGAGGCAGGAGAATCACTTGAACCCAGGAGGTAGAGGTTACAGTGAGCCAAGATTCCACCACTCTAGCCTGGTGACAGAGTGAGACTCCATCTCGAAAATAAACAAAGAAAAAAACCACAAAAGGTAAAATGGGAAGGGGAGACGGGTGAGGCGAGGTGACTCATGCCTATAGTTCCAGCACTTTGGGAGACCAAGGCAGGAGGATTACTTGAGCCCAGGAGTTTGAGACCAGCCTGGGCAACATAGCAAGACTGTCTCTACAAAAGACATAAAATAAATACATTGCCGGGCTCGGTGGCTCACACCTGTAATCCCAGCACTTTGAGAGGCCCAGGCAGGCGGATCATGAGGTCAGGAGATGGGAGACCATCCTGGCCAACATGGTGAAACCCCATCTCTACTAAAAATCCAAAAAAATCAGCTGGGCACAGTGGCGTGTGCCTGTAATCCCAGCTACTCAGGAGGCTGAGGCAGGAGAATTGCATTAACCCAGGAGTCAGAGGTTGCAGTGAGCCATGATCACGCCATTGCACATCAGTCTGGGCGACAGAGCGAGACTCTTCCTCTAAATAAATAAATAATCCAGGGCCGGGCGGGGTGACTCAAGCCTGTAATCCCAGCACTTAGGGAGGCCGAGGCAGGTGGATCATGAGGTCCACAGGTCGAGACCATCCTGGTCAACATGGTGAAACCCCGTCTCTACTAAAAATACAAAAAATCAGCTGGGCATGGCGGCACGTGCCTGTAATCCCAGCTACTCAGGAGGCTGAGGCAGGAGAATTGCCTGAACCCAGGAGGCGGAGGTTGCGGTGAGCCGAGATCGTGCCATTGCACTCCAGCCTGGGTAACAAGAGCGAAACTCCGTCTCAAAAAATAATAATAATAATAATAATAATCCAGGCATGGTGATGGGTGCCTGTGGTCCCAGTTACTCAGGAGGCTGAGGTGGGAGGATCACTTGAGTCCAAGAGGTGGCGGCTGCAATGAGCTGGGATCACAACCCCGCACTCTAGCCTGGCTGGAGTGAAAGACCTACAGTGGAAGCCCTTCTCTCTAAAAATATATATAAATTTTTAAATGTATATGATGATAATAACGTGTCTGTATTAGTTCTGCATTTGCAGCAAATGCGCCACTTAAAGCCAGGGGAATGGAAATCCGTATGTGCGTTGGGGCAGGAGAGATAAAGGAACTTCCGGTCCTATCTGCTCCATTTTTCTAGAATCCCATCTGGGCGCAGTGGCTCAAGCTTGTAATTCCAGCTCTTTGGGAGTCCGAGGCAGGTGGATCATAAGGTCAGGAGTTCGGGACCAGCCTGTCCAATATGATGAAACCCCGTTTCTACTAAAAAATACAAAAATTAGCCGGACGTGGTGATGTACACCTGTAACCCCAGCTACCTGGGAGGCTGAGGCATGAGAATCTCTTGAACCTGGGAGGTGGAGGTTGCAGTGAGTTGAGATCACGCCATTGCACTCCAGCCCGGGCGACAAGAACAAGACTCCATCTCAAAAAACAAAGAATTGGGAATGAAAAGCCAGCAATCAGAGATGTATGGTTACCCTGGTACTGAGGACACGTATGTCTTGGAGGGTGTCACTGAGTCACAGAGGGGGTGTCTCGAGGCTCCACAGTCCCCTGACTGCAACATTTGGCTCTCCCCAGACTGGACACCGGGCATGGATGTGCCACGGGACATTGCAGCTGCCTACCTGCTCCAGGGAAGCTTCTACGGCCACTCCATCTACGCCACGCTGTACATGGACACCTGGCGTAAGGACTCGGTGGTCATGCTGGTCCACCACGTGGTCACCCTCCTCCTCATCATCTCTTCCTATGCCTTCCGGTAAGGACAGGATCGGGTGGCTGGGGCTGAGGACCAGCCCCAGCCGGGTGCGGAGGCTGATGCTGTTGGTGGGGGGCATAGGGGAGGCTGTGGAGGGGATCACATCAGGTCAGAGTGCTCAGGGGTCCTGGGGGGGACAGGCCAGAGGGAGGAAGGCTGAGGAGGGGATGTGGGCTTGGAGATTCCTGAGGGAGATTCCACAGGGATGTGGTGAAACCGGCCCAGAGAGCCATACCCACCTCCCCCACCTACCTCCCGGCTCCTCGGATTCTGCCCCTCGCCAGCCAGGTCACACACTCAGGAGTTCCTGAGTCCCTGCCATGCCCAAGCAATGGGCGCGGGGCTGTGAACGCAACTGACGCACCCTGATGTTCTAGAGCCCACCACGCCACCACTGAGCCTTTCAGACGGAGTCTGTCTAAGCCTCAGCGTGCTGTGTGTATAAAAGCAACCCGGCTTCAAAGCACTCATAGACAAGCAAGGGTGAACATATCTTAGGCCGGGCGCAGTGGCTCACGCCTGTAATCCCAGCACTTTGGGAGGCCGAGGCGGGTGGATCACGAGGTCAAAAGATTGAGAACATCCTGGTCAACAGGGTGAAACCCCGTCTCTACTAAAAATACAAAACATTAGCTGGGCATGGTGGCGCGTGCCTGTAATCCCAGCTACTCAGGAGGCTGAGGCAGGAGAATTGCCTGAGCCCAGGAGGCGGAGGTTGCAGTGAGCCGAGATCGCGCCATTGCACTCCAGCCTGGGTAACGAGAGCAAAACTCCGTCTCAAAAAAAAAAAAAAAAAAAAAAAAAAAAAGAGTGAACATATCTTATCCACTCTTTTATCTCTCTTTTTTTTGAGACAGGGTCTCATTCTGTCACCCAGGCTGGAGTGCCGTGGCGTGACCACAGCTCACTGCAGCCTGGACCTCCTGGGCTCAAGCAATCCTCCCCCCTCGGCCTCCCGAAGTGCAGGGATTACAGGCACGTGCCACCACACCTGGCCTTGTTGCCTCGATTCCATATTGAAATGACAATATTTTGGATATATTTAATTAGAATGCATTATTTTATTTTATTTATTTTTTTGAGACAGAGTTTTGCTCTTGTTGCCCAGGCTGGAGTGCAACAGCATGATCTCAGCTCAACACAACCTCCGCCTCTCAGGTTCAATCCATTCTCCTGCCTCGGCCTCCCAAGTAGCTGGGAATACAGGCATGCGCCACCACGCCCAGCTAAGTTTTTGTATTTTTAGTAGAAACGGGGTTTCTCCAGGCTGGTCTCAAACTCCCGACCTCAGGTGATCTGCCCGCCTCGGCCTCCCAAAGGGCTGGGAGGACAGGTGTGAGCCACTTTGCCTGGCTAGAGTGTATATTAAAATTAATCTTACCTGTTCTTTTCCCTTGTTATTGTTAAATGTGGCTGATAGAAACGTTAAAATGAAATACACTGCTCACATAGCATTCCTACGAGACTAGCTACTCTAGCTGTGATAAGAGAGTAAGTAGACACAACTCGAAAATACAGAGCAACAAACGAGTGGCACTTCCAACTTCAATTAAACTGAAATAAAGCTCCAGGAGCAGTGGCCCCCAGCTACTCAGGAGGCTGAGGCAGGAGGATCATTTGAGCCCAGGAATTTGAGTTCAACCTGGGCAACACAGGGAGACCCTATCTCAAATACATTTTAAAAATTATTTTATTTGGGCCGGGCGTGGTGGCTCAAACCTGTAATCCCAGCACTTTGGGAGGCCGAGGCGGGTGGATCACGAGGTCGAGAGATCGAGACCATCCTGGTCAACATGGTGAAACCCCGTCTCTACTAAAAATACAAAAAAGTTAGCTGGGCATGGTGGTGCACGTGCCTGTAATCCCAGCTACTCAGGAGGCTGAGGCAGGAGAATTGCCTGAGCCCAGGAGGCGGAGGTTGCGGTGAGCCGAGATCGCGCCATTGCACTCCAGCCTGGGTAACAAGAGCGAAACTCCATCTCAAAAAAAAAATATATATATATATATATATATTTTATTTATTTACTTATTTTTTCAGACAGGGTCTTGCTCTATTGCACAGGCTGCAGTGCAGTGGCATATTGGCTCACTGCAACCTCTGCTTCCCGGGTTCAAACGATCCTCCTGACTCGGTCTCCCAAGTAGCTGGGATTATAGGTGCACACCACTACACCTGGCTAATTATTGTATTTTTAGTAGACACGGGGTTTCATCATGTTGGCCAGGCTGGACTTGAACTCCTGACCTCAAGTGAGCCACCTGCCTCAGCCTCCCGAAATTGCTGGGATTACAGGCGTGAGCCACCATGTCTGGCCAGTTTTAAAAATAATTTTTAAAAGCCCCCTATTCCGGCCAGGCATGGTGGCTCATGCCTGTAATCCTAGCACTTTGGGAGGCTGAGGCAGGCGGATCATGAGGTCAGGAGTTTGAGACTGGCCTTCCCAACACAGTAAAACCCCGTCTCTATTAAAAATACAAAAATTAGCTGGGCATGGTAGCATGTGCCTGTAATCTCAGCTACTCAGGAGGCTGAGGCAGGAGAATCACTTGAACCCAGGAGGCAGAGGTTGCAGCTGAGCCAAGATCACACCACTGCACCCCAGCCTGGGCCACAAGAGCAAGACACCGTCTCAAAGGAAAAATTAACTTCCAGGGAGCCTCCCGGGCCACATGGGGACACTGTGGCAGCGAAGACTAGGATCTGGTTGGGGGGTACCCAGCTGAGGGGGCAGTGAGGAAAGGGCATCCTGTGTATCCTGGAAAGGGGAGATGGGCAGGGAAGGTGAGCCAGGAAGGGTGGCTTTGAAGAGGCCCATGGGGAGCCTGAGGTGTAGCCCAGGGGCTCTGTGCTGGGGGCCTTAGTGCAGAGTGGGTCCCCCAGTGTTACCCACCCTCTCCTCTCTGCTTCCTGCTCCCCCAGGTACCACAATGTGGGCATCCTTGTGCTTTTCCTGCACGATATCAGCGACGTGCAGCTTGAATTCACCAAGCTCAACATCTATTTCAAGTCCCGCGGCGGCTCCTACCACCGGCGGCATGCCCTGGCAGCAGACCTGGGCTGCCTCAGCTTCGGCTTCAGCTGGTGAGTGGCAGGGGGTGCTAGGCAGGATGGGAGGTGTGGCCTGGTGAGGTGGGTGTGGCCAGAAAAAGGGACAGGACTAGACAGGGAGGAGGCGGGGCCCAGTGAGGTGGGTGTGGCCTGACAAGAGGAGGGGCTGGGCAGGGAAGGGGTGGGGCCTTGGTGAGGTGGGTGGGGCCTGGCAGAGAAGGGGAGGGGCTGGGCAGGGAATGGGGTGTGGCCTTGGTGAGGTGGGTGGGGCCTGGCAGGACAGGGGAAGGACAGAACAAGAGTGGAGACACGTGAGCAGAGGTAGGCAAGGGGGCAGAGATGGGTCCAGGATGGGACAGGACAGGGACTGGGTGGGGCACTGTCTCCCTCTGCCTACGGCCTCCCGTCTCCTCCCACCACAGGTTCTGGTTCCGCCTCTACTGGTTCCCACTCAAGGTCCTGTATGCCACGAGTCACTGCAGCCTGCGCGTGGTTCCTGACATCCCCTTCTACTTCTTCTTCAACGCGCTCCTGCTGCTGCTCACCCTCATGAACCTCTACTGGTTCCTGGTGAGTCAGCGCGGGCTGTCTTCCACAGCGGTGGTCCCGTCCTGGTCCCCATCCCTGTCCCCTCCTCGTCCCGATCCCTGTCCCCTCCTCGTCCCCATCCCTGTTCCCTCCTCGTCCCCATCCCTGTTCCCTCCTCGTCCCGATCCCTGTCCCCTCCTCGTCCCCATCCCTGTCCCCTCCTCGTCCCCATCCCTGTCCCCTCCTCGTCCCCATCCCTGTCCCCTCCTCGTCCCCATCCCTGTCCCCTCCTCGTCCCCATCCCTGTCCCCTCCTCGTCCCCATCCCTGTCCCCTCCTCAGGCAGGTGCAGGGAGGGGCACATTAGGCAGCACTGAGCCTGCGCGGAGTGGGAGGGCCAGGGACAAGAGCACATGGCCATCAGCAGGAGGGCAGCGAGGGGGATTTCCTTCTCACCCACGCCTCCCCTCTCTTCTCGCAGTACATCGTGGTGTTTGCAGCCAAGGTGTTGACGGGCCAGGTGCGAGAGCTGAAAGACCTTCGGGAGTATGACGCAGCCGAGGCCCAGAGCCTGAAGCCCAGCAAAGCCGAGTAAGTGTGGAGGGGCCTGCGCCCCGCATTCCCTCCTTTAGTGAAACCCATCCGAGCGCGCTCGTGGGCAGGGCCCCAAGACCCAGCAGCAGATGAGGCTGACGCGGATGCTGCCCCCCAAGCCTACTCCAGAACAGAGACTGCAATAAAGGCATGGACGATGTGGCCACCAAGTTAACTGCCCTGAAGGACAGGACAGTGAGGAAGGGGAGGGGCAGGCAGGGCGACAGGCAGGGTCTTCGCAGTGGGGACACTGAGGGTCAGGCCTGGTGGCTGGCGTGGCCGGCGTGGGTGAGCCGAGGCCCCGTGAGTGGTGAGGACTAGCTGTTGGCCAGGCTGGACGATGACTTCCCACCCATGTCCGCACTGGAGCCGGTGGCAGTGGAGCTAGGGGCACCTGGGCCAGGGGTGAACGGAGGCAGAATTGGTGAGAGGCGGGTTGGGGCGTGTGGTATCTCAGGCAGCTCGAGGAGTATTTGAGCTGAGACAGGGCAGGAGGTTGTGGAAGGCCCTGGAAGGCACCGACCAGCCAGGCCCTTTGATTCGGCCAGTGGGGCCATCAGTGACCCAGGAATGATGGTTTCAGGGCAGCAGTGGCTCAGAGCTCTGTGATGTTTGGAACGGGATGTTTGAGATGTAGGCGTTTAACACATCTGGGGCTGTAGCCAGGCAGAGGCGCGTCAGACACCCTCACCCTGTTTGGAAGGGAGACCCCACCAGATCCGCCTGGGATGTTGATGAAACAGAAATAAACAGATCAAAGATGACCCAAGACTTCTGGCTGCAGCTCACGTTGACTGAGATGGGATGGGGCAGGGTCACGTGGGTTCTGGCAGGCGTGATGGTAGGAGACTCCTTTTGAGGGTGTTAGATTGCACTGCCCTTTGAGCGTGAGTCAAGAATTCTTTTTTTTTTTTTTCTTTTTTTTTTTTTTTTGAGATGGAGTTTCGCTCTTGTTACCCAGGCTGGAGTGCAATGGCGTAATCTCGGCTCACCGCAACCTCTGCCTCCTGGGTTCAGGCAATTCTCCTGCCTCAGCCTCCTGAGTAGCTGGGATTACAGGAACGCGCCACCATGCCCAGCTAATGTTTTGTATTTTTAGTAGAGACGGGGTTTCACCATGTTGACCGGGATGGTCTCGATCTCTTGACCTCGTGATCCACCCGCCTCAGCCTTCCAAAGTGTTGGGATTACAGGCGTGAGCCAGTACACCCGGCTTTTTTTTTTTTTTTTTTTTAAAGGCAAACTTTGATCAAATTTATTGATCGTAGGTGGCTACCCGGCTATGAGGATTGCAGGGCATGAAAAAGGGCAAAAGATGACCTTTAGTAGGGGCTCCCAACCCAGAACCACAGGAAATCAAATAGCCTGCAAGAACTAGGAAGGCAAATACACAAGTGGCCTTCGGCACGATCACCTATTTCCCTCACCAGGAAAGTAGCTCCAAACAGCCAATCCTATTTATCTTTTAATGAATGATTAGTTCTCATGTTGCCCAGGCTGGCCTTGAACTCGTAGCCTCGCCTCTTCAAGTGCCAGGACAACTGGCCTGAGCCACCGCAGCTCCCTCATTTTAGTAGAGACAAGGTTTCACAATGTTGGCCAGGCTGGTGTTGAACACCTGACCTCAGGTGATCCGCCCACCTCGGCCTCCCTAAGTCCTAGAATTACAGGCATGAGCCACCATGCCCGGCCCCGGATAATTTTTAATTTTTTTGTAGAGATGGGATCTCACTGTGTTGCCCAGGCTGATCGCTCTCTCTCTCTCTTTTGGCCCGGGCTGATCTCGAACTCGTAGGGTCAAGTGATCTGCCCGCCTCAGCCTCCCCAAGTGCTGTGATTACACGTGTGAGCCACCACACCCAGTCCTTCATGCCCTTTCTTTGCCCTGCACTCCTGCTGTGTCTCTCCAGTCTCCTGGCTGACCTCCTCCTCTTCCAGGGCCCTTTCTCTGCCCACATTTATTTATTTGTTTGTTTTTGAGATGGGGTCTTGCTCTGTTGCCCAGGTTGGAGTGCAGTGGTGCGATCTCGGCTCACCACAACCTCCGCCTCCCGTGTTCAAGCGATTCTCCTGCCTCAGCTTCTTGAGTAGCTGGAATTACAAGAGCACACCATCCTGCCCAGCTAATTTTTGTTATTTTTTTTTTTTTGAGACGGAGTTTCGCTGTTGTTACCCAGACTGGAGTGCAATGGCACGATCTCGGCTCACCGCAACCTCCACCTCCTGGGTTCAAGCAATTCTCCTGCCTCAGTCTCCCGAGTAGCTGGGAGTACAGGCACGCGCCACCATGCCCAGCTAATTTTTGTATCTTTTTTTTTTTTTTTTTTTTTTAGTACAGACGGGGTTTCACCTTGTTGACCAGGATGGTCTCGATCTCTTCACGTTGTGATCCACCCGCCTTGGCCTCCCAATGTGCTGGGATTAGAGGCGTGAGCCACCGCGCCCAGCCAATTTTTGTATTTTTAGTAAAGATGGGGTTTCTCCATGCTGACCAGGCTGGTCTCAAACTCCTGACCTCGTGATCCACCTGCCTCGGCCTCCCAAAGTGCTGGGATTAGAGGCGTGAGCCACCGCGCCTGGCCTCTGCCCACACTTAATCCACACCAATTTGCATGTTTCTCTCTCCTAGCTCAGGAAGTTCCCCTGAGCGCCTTTCTCCATCTTCTGTGTTTGACATTTCCAGCATCTTCTAAAATATCCCAAATCAAGGCCAGGCGAGGTGGCTCACACCTGTAATTTCAGCACTATGGGAGGCCAAGGCGGGCAGATCATGAGGTCATGAGTTTGAGACCATCCTGGCCAACATGGTGAAAACCTGTCTCTACTAAAAAGACAAAAATTAGCCAGGCATAGCGGTGCATGCCAGTAATCCCAGTTCTGGAGGCTAAGGCAGGGGAATTGCTTGAACCTGAGAGGCGGAGGTTGTGGTGAGCTGAGATCGCGCCACTGCACTCCAGCCTGGGTGACAGAGTAAGACTCAAAAAAAAAAGAAAAAAAATCTCAGCTGGGCGCGGTGGCTGAAGCCAGTAATCCCAGCACTTTGGGAGGCCGAGGCGGGTGGATCACGAGGTCAAGAGATCGAGACCATCCTGGTCAACATGGTGAAACCCCGTCTCTACTAAAAATACAAAAAATTAGCTGGGCATGGTGGCGCGTGCCTGTAATCCCAGCTCCTCAGGAGGCTGAGGCAGGAGAATTGCCTGAACCCAGGAGGCGGAGGTTGCCGTGAGCCGAGATTGCACTACTGCACTCCAGCCTGGGTGACAAAGCGAGACTTCGCCTGAAAAAAGAAAACAGAGAAAAGCTATCTTCTCCAAGGTGGGTATACCCCCACCCACACCCCAAAAGGCAAATACTGACAGCTGCTTTTGAGTGGGTAGGGAACACTTTGAAGCATGCGTAGAAGAAACAAACAAGAATCAGCAGGAAAGCTCTGATAAAAAGCCCTGGAGCGGGAACGCCCATCACCAAAGATGCTAAACTTTACCATTAGAGGAATCTACACTCTTCCGTGGGAACTGAGTGGAGAAATTAGCCTAAGATCTCGAAACCTTTAGCAAATACTAAAGACCACCCTGGAGGGCAGGAATAGGGACACTTGGGGGCCATCTGGAAAACAGTGAGGGTGCGTGTTGGTCTCCTGTAAGCCCCAGGGCAAACGCCCCCACTCTTCGTACCAAAGGTGTCAATGCAGAAATGGAATCCCTGAAGTCACCTCAGCCAAAAGGGGAGATTGTGTCACGGAGGTTTGTTTATGGGAAGAACTGAGAAGCCACAGGGTGGATGAAGACCCATCACTCACAGTCCCAAGGACTGCAGGCAAAGGGAGAAGTGTGACAGATGGGGAGGTCCAAGCAGGGTTTATCTCCTCTCAGATAAGGACCATCAGATGGGGACAGCTAGCTGGCTATGAAATGCATGCAGAGAAGCTGGGCTTCCACCTAAGGAAGGAGCAAATTAAAAGTGACAAAAGCCCTTTGGGAGGATGGAGGCGGGCTGACTGCTTGAGCCCTGGTGTTTGAGACCAGCCTGGGCAACATAGCGACCTTGTCTCAAACAACAAAGTTAGTTGGGGTCAGATGTGGTGGCTCACAGCTGTAATTCCAGCACTTTGGGAGGTCAAGGCAGGGGGATCACCTGAGTCAGGAGTTCAAGACCGGCCTGGCTGATATGGCGAAACCCTGTCTCTACTAAAAATACAAAAGTTAGCTGGGCATGGTCGCAGGTGCCTGTAATTCCAGCTACTTGGGAGGCTGAGGCAGGAGAATCGCTTGAATTTAGCAGGCAGAGGTTGCAGTGAGTTGAGATAGTGCCACGGCACTCCAGCCTGGGCGACAGCTGGGCATGGTGGCATGCCCCTGTAATCCCAGCTACTCTGGAGGCCGAGGTGGGAGGATCCATTGAGTCTTAGAGGTCAAAGATACAACTAGCTATGATCATGCCACTGCTATAGCCTGGACCATAGAGTGAAACCCAGTCTCAAAAAAAAAAAAAAAAAAAAAAAGCCATGGAAGGGAAGTAGGGAGGACGTCAGATGCCAGCCAGGGCCACTAGAGCCAAGGACTAGCCTTCCTGGGGTGGGGTGGGGTAGCAGAGGAGAGGAGGATCGTGTGGCAGAGGCGGTGAAGTTGTCAGGTCCAGGCTGGTGGGTGGCTTTTGCCCTCCAGCAGCCTGGAGAGGCAGGGAGGAGGGGAAGAGTTAGGTTTAATTAGGGAAGAGGAAGTGCCAGGGCGCCAGGAGGATAAACGTGCCAACAGGGCAGGGTGAAGGAGAGCAAGAAACCACAAGGTGAGGCCGGGGCTTGGCTGGGTAAAAGTAGATGGGGGTGTGTGAAACGTCCAGGGACGGAGCGGAACCAGAGGGGCGGGCGGCTGGGTGGTGCTCCCAGGCTAACCTGCGCTGGTTCTGACCCCCAGGAAGCCACTGAGGAACGGCCTGGTGAAGGACAAGCGCCTCTGAACCCCTAGGCCCCGCCCCCGTGGACCCGGCCCCACCCGAGGACCACGCCCCCGTCCGTGGCGCTCCCCCACCCCCTCCTTCAGCTCTGGTCCTCTAGGGCCCCAGCCACCTCCCTTGGGAGCCCTGCCGCCTCATCCTGTCTCTACTCCCTGGCCACGCCCCCCAGGACCCCCTGCTCCTCTGGGGACACCGGCCCCGCCTTCAGCCCACTGGTCCTGCGCCGCGGCGGACCCTGCACACACTCTGTCCATCGCCAGGAAGGAAGATGCCACCGCCGCGGCAAGGTCCCAGCTGCCGCCACCACCACCTCCTCCTCCTGGCCCTGCTGCTGCCCTTGCTGTCCCCGACCCGCGCCCACGTGCCCTCAGGCCCCGCCACCGCCGCCCTGCTCCAGGCTCTTGGACTGCACGATCCGCCCCAGGGAGCCCCCAGGCTCCGGCCGGTTCCCCCGCTCATGTGGCGCCTGTTTCGACGCCGGGACCCCCAAGAGACCTGGTCGGGTTCACGACGGACGTCCCCAGGGGTCACCCTGCAACCGTGCCACGTGGAGGAGCTGGGGGTCGCCGGAAACATTGTGCGCCACATCCCGGACCGAGGTGAGTGGGACTTGCTGGGTACGCGGGTCCCGGAGACCAGACCTTGCAGAGCGGGGGTGCCCGAAAGGCTCCGAGAGTCCCCACCCGCCGCATCCAGGCTGCTAGCAACTTAGGCCACCTCACCCTACCCCTTCCTCGTCCTCTGCATGTTGCAGACGCCAAGGGGTTCCCAAGACCAGGTCCCCACCCCATCCCCACCCCCGCCGCTTGACACCATTTAATGCCTTCCTGCAGATGCCACCTCCACACCCCAGCATGGCTTCCCCAGGGGCCCAGGCGCTGGCTCTTGTCTCCCACTTCAGCCACCCCTCTTCTAGAGATGGGGTTTCACCACCTTGGCCAGTGTGGTCTCAAACTCCTGACGTCAAGTGATCCACCCGCCTAGCCTCCCAAAGTATTGGGATTACAGGCGTGAGCCCCTGCGGTTCCCCGTGGAGACCAGCCCGCCCCCACCCCCACACCCCGCAGGGCGCCTTCCTTGGAACTCACGCCCTGCCCCCACTCCAGCCCACCCCGCCGCTTCATACCCTTCCCACCGACGGTCCATCCCCAGCCCCACCGTTCACCTTCCTGCCCGTCCCCAACCGAGACCCCATAGGCAGGCGGGGGACGCAGCGTGAGCCGAGTCCTGTCCCTGCCTCCCCAGGTGCGCCCACCCGGGCACCGGAGCCTGCCTCGGCCGCGGGGCATTGCCCCGAGTGGACCGTCATCTTCGACCTGTCGGCTGTGGAACCCGCCGAGCGCTCGAGCCTGGCCCGCCTGGAGCTGCGTTTCGCGGCGGCGGCGGCGGCGGCGGCGGCTCCGGAGGGCGGCTGGGAGCTGAGCGTGGCGCTGGCGGGTCAGGGCGCAGGCGCAAGCCCCGGGCCGGTGCTGCTCCGCCAGGAGGTTCCCACCCTGGGGCCGCCGGTGCGCGCAGAGCTGCTGGGCGCTGCCTGGGATCGCAACACCTCGTGGCCGCGTAGCCTCCGCCTGGCGCTGGCGCTGCGCCCCCGGGTCCCTGCGGCCTGCGCGCGCCTGGCCCAGGCTTCGCTGCTGCTGGTGACCCTCGACCCGCGCCTGTGTCACCGCTTTGCCCGGCCGCGACGCGGCGCCGAACCCGTGTCGGGCGGCGGTGGGGGCGCGTGTCGTGCGCGGCGGCTCTACGTGAGCTTCCGCGAGGTGGGCTGGCACCGCTGGGTCATCGCGCCGCGCGGCTTCCTGGCCAACTATTGCCAGGGTCAGTGCGCGCTGCCCGCCGCGCTGTCGGGGCCCGGGGGTCCGCCTGCGCTCAACCACGCCGTACTGCGCGCGCTCATGCACGCAGCCGCCCCGGGAGCCGCCGACCTGCCCTGCTGTGTGCCCGCGCGCCTGTCGCCCATCTCCGTGCTCTTCTTTGACAACAGCGATAACGTGGTGCTGCGGCAGTATGAGGACATGGTGGTGGACGAGTGTGGCTGCCGGTAACCAGGCGCAGGCAGGAATGCGGGCCCAATAAACGTCCCCGTGGTCTGCTCTGCTGGTCTCCTTTGACTCCTTGCCTGGGGGTGGGGATGTGGGCGCCCCTCAGCCTTGGTGACCTCCGGCCCAAGGTGGAGCCGCCCCCATAGGCCCAGGTGCTGCCCACAGGAGGGACCCAGGGGCAGGGGTCACCCTTCAGTCCTGCAGGCAGCCTGTCCTTTCTGGGCTTTGCCTCAGTCTTCCTCTGGATTTCTTCATACCCCGACCCCTCACCCAGACAGGGCCCCAGCTCCCTCCATCCCCTGCAGTTCATCCAGCCCTTGGTGTGTAGGCAAAACTGTTTATTAATATTTTATTGGTGACAAAAGAATTTAAATTGACCAAAAATCAAAAGTTACATTGCCTTGGTACAGTGTGCCTGGGTTTGTCAAGGTCAGTGGCTGCTGCTACAAAGCTGGAGAAAACAGCACAGGGCGAAGCAGAGGCAAAGTGGCCCAGCCCGACAGCTGGGTGGGGCGGGTGGCGCCCCTCAGGCCACTGCAGGGTCACAGCGGAAATCTAGCCGGGTCTGTGCCTCTACACGGCCTACCGAAAGAAGGGGAAACCGAAAGCCCTAGAGCAATGGGAATAAATACGAGTCCCTGCCAGAAGGTAGGTGGCCTGTACGTCCCCGTCTGTCCCATGCAGAAGCGGGAACCTGGAGGTGTTCAGCTTAGTGCCAGGGACAACCCCAGACCCAGGCTGGGGGAGGCTGGAGGCCTGGCCACCAGGCCGAATGACGCCCCAAGCTAGGTGTTCGAGGGGCTGGAGCAGCTCTCCCAACTAAAACGACCCCACACTCCCAGCCTCACACAGAAGGTGATTTCTTTGACTTGTTTCCTTCCCCCTAGCAGCAGCCATCACCCCATCGGCAAAGCTGCTTGGCAGGCGGAGCTCCCACTTTGCGGGAGTGGTGTGCAGCGCCGTGTCTAATCAGCACAGGACTGCCGGTACCTGCTGGGGACGGGGACGGGCCCTCTTGTCCTTCCACCAAATCCTTCAAAGGACCCCGGAAAAAGCCGTCGATCCGGGAACAGCCACCTTCTCTCTCCCCCTGGCCACAGGGCCAGTCCTGGACAAGGCCCCTCTCGGTGAGGCCAAAAGCACGTTCGTCACAGGCGCAGGGCCCTTCGCCGAGTCCGGGCAGGAAGTAGCTTGGCTTCTGAGTCCAGCGGAGAACGGGCAGCTACCCCAGCGGCCTGATCACCTGCTTCTTGAAGCCGTTGGAAGCTAAAACCGACGACAGTCCTCCTTGGGGCCTAGGCACAGGTGTCGCTCCTCTTCTCCAGCGGCGCTGGCTTGTTTAAACTGTTTCTGGAAGCTTCTCGCATCTCCCAGGTCCACCGCTAAGATTTTAGATACAAACTTAGGAAAGTATTTTTCAGTACGCCTTTAAAAGAATCTTGGGAGAAAAAAAAAAAAAAGAAAAACCCCAAACACCGTTAATTTCTTTAAATGAAGGCCCTCTGAGAACAGGCAGCGTGACCTCGGCGGGTCCGGTCGGCGTGGACAGATGCGCCCTCCTGGGGCTCTGCCTGGGCGCCGTGGCCTTTGGAAGGAGCCTGCTCGGGCACAGAAATGCGAAGTTTTTTCCTGCTAAGACGTAGTCCCCTTTCAGTCAAAGAGAAAAAGAAATAGAAGAACAGAGGAAAGGGCTACTCTGATGAGGGTCTTCCTCCCTCCGCCCTGGCCGCAGCCCCGGTGGGACGGAGCGGGGCCTCCTGGTGGCGGCGGCTCCCGCGGGCCGGCCCCTCCTCCGCTCCCTCTGCTCCTCGCCGCCGCGGGCCAGCAGGGGGCGCTCGGCCTCGGCTCCTCTCCCTCGTGCGCTCTCCCTTCCTGTCGCTCACACAGTGGTGCTTCAGTTTTAGCAGTGGAAAACAGGTATCCGTTTATTTTTATTTTTTATTACCCAGAATAAGATGCTGATGGACTAAGCCACGTTGCTTAGCTCTTCCGCCGCCACCTGAAGGGAGAGAGAAGGGCAGGAGGCAGTGAGAGGTGGCACCTGGCACCCCACGGGCCTCCAGCACACAGGCCAACAGCACACAGGAGGGAGAGCCCAAGCTGCCCTCCCCCACCCTGATGAGGAAATCGAGGCCCCGCAGGGGTCCTTCGAGCAGAGGGCTGCCCATCACGGTGGGGTGGGGGCCCATCAATGTCCTCCTGCCCTGGACCACAATGGGAACTTCAGGGCCTCCACACAAGTGGGGCTGGGACTGGGACCCACAGGGAGCCACCCTGACTGGCAGTGAAAGTCACAGGCCCAGCACACACACATTTCCAGACACCACCCCTCTACTGCAGCTCCCTGGGGAGAGCCCCTCCCATCCCTCTCCCTGAAGCCAGGCGGGACCAGGCCTGCTCCAGGGGGCCTTGCCTTCTAATACTGGGACAGCCCCGTCACCCCGCCGTGCTGGTAAGCCCGCTCTCCCTGGTAAGTGGAGTCCTGTGAGAGCGCCACGTCGATCTGTGATTTAAACTCATCGCCAAGGTAACTGTCCTAAAAGACAAGGTGGGGAGGTGAGCAAGCCACTGGCCAAGCCTGAGAATGGAAAAGCTGTCCCCAAACGGAGGCAGAGAACTGCTCCGCTGACCCCCGCACAGGGGACACACGCAAGACCAGCTCTCCAGGGCTCTCCAGGTGGAATGTTCCAAGTGCACAGCGCCTCCCTCGTTCCCGCAGGTCCCGCTGGAGGGCTCCGAGAGGGCTCTGCGTGGGGCGGCCTCACCTGGGACAGCTCCGGCTGGGAGAGGCCGGGCTGGCTCATCTGGGAGGGCTGGCTCATGGAGATGTAACCCTGCGTCAGGGCGCCCTGCGAGAAGGGCTGTGATGCCACATCCTGGCTGGCTTGGCTGTTGGGGAGGTTGGTCTGGCTGGGCCCAGGAAGCCCAAAGCGGTTCTTCTGGCGTCCCCCACGACCAGTCTTGCCTTTCGGGGTGCCTCGGCCTGAAAGACAGCAGTCCAGGGTGATATGAAGGAGGCCAGGGCCTGGAAGACAAGCACACCCTCAGGAGCTCTCAGGAGGGCCACACCCAGCCCTGGCCACAGGTGCTCACCTGCAGCTGGCCCGTTGGCTTGTCCGAAATAGCCGGGTGGCGGCATGGGCGGCATGACCAGGTTGAAGGGGATGGGAATGTTCATGGCGGCCACGTGGCTGGGGCCGGCGCTGATCATGCCAATCTGGTCATGGGTCTGGAAGTACATGCTAGAGGGCCGGCCTGCAAATCACAGTCAGGCGTCACTTGCCTTGGTCAAACCCCGGCGATGTCCCCACCCACCCCATCAGCCAGTCAGCCGGAGCTGCACATGTGTGCTGGCCCTGCCCAGGCTGAAGATGCAGATTCACAGGACTCCATGTTGACTACAGCGGCCTGCCTGGGCTGGATGCCTGGGCCGGCACCTTCCCCCAGGAAAGTCTGCTGGGAATCACTGGCCTACACAATCTTAAAAGCTGAAAACTGGGGCTGGGTGCAGTGGCTCACACCTGTTAATCCCAGCACTTTGGGAGGCCAAGGCAGGTGGATCACCTGAGATCAGGAGTTCAAGACAGCCTGGCCAACATGGTGAAACCCCATCTCTACTAAAAATACAAAAATTAGCTGGGCGTGGTGGCAGGTGCCTGTAATCCCAACTACTCGGGAGGCTGAGACGGGAGAACTGATGGAACCCAGGAAGTGGAGTTTGCAATAAGCCAAGATCGCACCACTGTACTTCAGCTTGGGTGACAGAGAGAGACTCTGAAAAACAAACAACAAAAAAAACCCCTGAAAATTGGCTGGGCACAGTGACTCACGCCTGTAATCCCAGCACTGTGGGAGGCTGAGGTGCAAGGGCTGCCTGAGCCAGGAGTTCAAGACCAGCCTGGACAACATAGTGAGACCCTGTCTCTAAACAAAAAAATAAATGAAAAGCACCCTCCATTTACCAAAAAAAAAAAAAAAAAATCGTTTTAATGAAAATGTTGTATTTGTACTACATGCAGCCCCTACCCTACCACCACCAAAAAGCAAGAAAAAGCTAACTAACTCGATCACCAGGAAACATTAATGAGTGGACTCTGGCTAAAGACAAATGCCCGCCCCAGGGGTGCTCCGGGGCTGGGAGGCCAAGGGAGCCAGGCCCCGCCCTCGAGGGGAAGGAAAGGGGGACACCCAAAGCTGCAGCTGTGGGAACGGCCAGCATCCCAGTGTGGGGACAAGGGGCCGGCTGGGTCCCCTGCCGAGCGACTCACCCTGGCTGCTCCGATCATAGACGGAGCCGGGGATGATGGCCTCCCGGGCATCATACATGGCTGTGGTCATGAAGCGGGCCCCCTGCAAAGGTTTAGATCGGTGAGGAATTTGTCATCTCAACACAAAGAACGACTTCCCACCAACCAGTGGCCTGGGAGGGGGCAGGTGTGCCACTGTGGGTGTTGACACTGTGCTAGGGGCTCTCTTTGGGGGAAGGAGGGAGCTGCTGTCTCATAGGCTCTGGGCCTGCCCTTCGGCCCGGCCTGGGCTCTGACACTGACCCCTGGGACTCAGCTGAGGCAGCTTCACGCCCCTCCTCCCCAGAGCACCCCAGGCTCGCAGACCACGTCCGGGGTCCCAGGCTGCTGCAGCACAGCAGCTGGAGCCCAGTTCCCAGAAGCCTCTCAGGATCTAGCAGCCCCGAACGAAAAATGCCACAAACAGCTTGGGAGACGCGAAGTGGGCTGCCCGCCCTCAGCTCACGGGCACCACAGGCCCCTGTGCCACCTTCCCAGCAGTGTTCTGGGCCCGGGTTTCTCCGTGCCCCCGCTGCCCTGCGGGCACTCACCGGGTTGATGGTGTTGACCAGCTTGCGCGGCTTGCTGAACTGCATGAGGCTCTCACGCAGGTTGTTGAGCGGCCCCTCCACCAGCACCTTCTGCTCCTTGTAGTAGTTCAGCAGGTGGTTCCAGAGCGGCTGCTTCGACAGCGCCTTCGGGTTGCCCACAATGATGACGCCGTACCTGCGGCAGGGGTGCGGTGCTGAGGACACACGTGGAGAACTGCCCGTCTCACGGGATGGTCCAGGAGGCAAGGCTGCACTCGCTCAGAACCCAAATCCAAGGCAACAGAGGCATGGAATGGGTGAGCTGAGGTGGCGGGCAGGCTGTTGGCCACAGGGACAGGCCCCCACGTCCACTGCCAAGCCACTGACCTTGCACATGGGTTGATTTTGTGGCCAACTCTAAGCAGCCCCATGGCAGACACGAGGCTGGGTGGATACGCTTGGAGACAGGGTCTGCTGTCAAGAGTTGACCTTCCAGGCACTGGGCACAGGCAGTTCCACAAAGCCCCCGGCGGGCTGGGGCAGACTCGATACCCAGCTCCTCTGGCCCACCTCACACAGCTGTGGGGGAACCCACCCGATACTGCCCACCGGACAAGAGGGCATCCTAGAAAGAGGCAATGCGGGGGGCATCGACTATGCGGTGGGTATTAACAATGACAAAGCCACCGTGACTTATGCGGAGGCCCACCGTGCATGTGAGCCAGAAGGAGCGCTGGGTGCTCTCCCTGTGCTGGGTGGAGCCGGGCCCGTAACTGCCGCTGCCAACTGGGTCCCCGCAGTTTAGTGTTTTGTTTTGGTTTTTTTTTGAGACAGAGTTTCACTCTTGTTGCCCAGGCTGGAGTGCAGTGACACAGTCTCGGCTCACTGTAACATCCACCTCTCAGGTGCAAGAGACTCTGTCTCAGCCTCTCAAGCAGCCTGGATTACAGGCATGTGGCACTATGCCCGGCTCATTTTTGTGTATTTAGGAGAGACCGGGCCAGGCGCGGTGGCTCAAGCCTGTAATCCCAGCACTTTGGGAGGCCGAGGCGGGTGGATCACAAGGTCAAGAGATCGAGACCATCCTGGTCAACATGGTGAAACCCCGTCTCTACTAAAAATACAAAAAATTAGCTGGGCATGGTGGCGCGTGCCTGTAATCCCAGCTACTCAGGAGGCTGAGGCAGGAGAATTGCCTAAACCCAGGAGGCGGAGGTTGCGGTGAGCCGAGATCGCGCCATTGCACTCCAGCCTGGGTAACAAGCGAAACTCCATCTCAAAAAAAAAAAAAAAAAAAAAAAAAAAAAAAAAAAAAAAGGGAGAGACCGGGTTTCACCATTTTAGACTGAGAACTCCTGACCTCAGGTGATTCACCCTCCTGGGCCTCGCAAAGTGCTGGGATTATGTGGGATTACACACATCTACCACCGCACCCGGCCTGCTGTCTAGTTTTATGTAGGATCACAGAATGGACAGAGTCCCTTCTGCTATCATCAGTTCAGAAAAGTTGTATTTCAGAACCGAAAATAGCAGACGGGACCACAACTTCAGGCTCTCAGACTAAACAACTTGACATCCACACACAGGGTTTATATGAATCAGAGCAGTGGGCTGACGCACAGGGGCCACAGCAAACCCTCAGGACACAGAAACAAAGATCTCCCGAGTGAGGCATCATTTCTCAACTGCTGCTCAGGGCCCTCTGACTCTGGTCCTGGTGAACCCCGAACCTAGCCCAAATTCCCTGGGAAGTGAAGGCTGATGAGGGGCTGGGCACCCCACGCAGCAGGCAGCCTCCCTACCTTGCTCTGGTCAGGGCCACGTTCAGACGCCTGGGGTCGTTTAAAAACCCGATGCCTTGGTGCTCGTTGGCCCGAACACAGGAGAGGATGATGAAGTCCTTCTCGCGCCCCTGAAAGGCGTCCACACTGGCGATCTCCACCTCCTACAAGAGAGCTTCGTGGTCACTGTTAGCCAGCAGGCTGTCTTCCCGGCACCCACAAAATGCAGGAAATGCACCAAGACGAACCCTTAATCCCACCCAAGAGCTTGGACCTGGTGCCTCCTCACCACACCTAGGGGCTGTCCAGGCCCCCCCCCACTTTTTTTTTTTTTTAAAGAGACAGGATCTTGCTCTGTCACTCAGGCTAGAGTACAGTGGTGCAATCTCGGCTCACCACAGCCTTGACCTCCCAGGCTCAGCTGATCCTACCTTGGTCTTCTGAGTAGCTGGGAACATAGGCACATGCCACCACCCCGTTGTTTGTTTTTTTGGTGTGGACGGGGTCTCCCTACGTTGCCCAGGTTGGTCTGAACTCCTAGGCTCAAGCGGCTCCCTCCTCAGCCTCCCAAAGGCTGGGATTCCAGGCATGAGGCGTGACAACCAGCCTGTTCTCTTTTAGCCACGGAAATTTGATTTTTAGCACTGACCACACACGTGCTCATCCCGGAGAACCTGAGCCCACGCTCAAGCACAGAGCAGAAGCCACTGCCCTGTGGCCACTCAGACTCGGCACATGGCTCATTTCCTGGTAGAGACAGAGCTGTGCCTCTCCCCAACTCACCCACAGTGGGCGTCTCATCCCGTCAATAACGATGTGAACACCACGGTCTCCACAACACAACCCCACTGCGTGGCAGGCGCGGGCCACTCTCGCTCCACCTTGGACTTGTTTCAACCGCCTCGAGAAAACACCCTCATGTGCCAGTCTCAGCCCATGTTTCTGACCCTTGTGACTTCTCTCTCAAAGTCTCCATCCTGACCAGAATTTCACAGGGACTCTGGGGATGTGCTATCTCTGCCCTCCCCAGAGGCTGGCCAACGGGTGCTTCCTGGGCGTGCTCTGAGCTCCAGCCAGGGCAGGCATCTCTTGGGCGGGCTAACCTGAAGGTCCAGGTCAGTAACCCCCACATGGCCCAGGAGACCGTGTGTGCCCGCGGCGGCGCACCTGGTAAAGCTTGGTGTGCAGGGAGCCGCTGAACTGCATGTACTGCACCAGGTAGGAGCGCTGGCCCTCGTAAGGCGTGATGATGCCAATCTGGTCCGGCTTGGCGCCCGCCTTCAATAGCTTTGTGGTGATCTTCTCCACGTTCGCAGCCTCAGTCCTAAGAAACCCAGTCTCTCAGTGCTGGGCTCCACCTGTGGGATCCCGAGCCCTGAGGCTGGAAGCAGTGAGGGGCGTAGACACACGACATCCAAAGGGAAGGCAGCTGCCATCACTGGCATTTGCATGGCTGAGCTTCCCCAGCCTTCACCAGAGGAGTCTCAGGGAGCAGAAAACACTGCCATGTGGGATCAGAAAGTATCTGCCCAGGACTGGGCACGTGGCTCACGCCTGGAATCCCAGCACTTTGGAAGGCTGAAGCGGGCAGACCACAAGGTCTGGATATCGAGACCATCCTGGTTAACAGTGAAACCCTGTCTCTACTAAAAATACAAAAATTAGCCAGGCATGGTGGCACATGCCTGTAATCCTAGCTACCTGGGAAGCTGAGGCAGGAGAATCGCTTGAACCCAGTAGGCGGAGGTTGCAGGAAGCAGAAATCGCGCCACTGCACTCCAGCCTGGGCGACAAAGCAAGACTCTGTCTCAAAAAAAAGTATCCACCCAATAAAAAACAAGCACAGTGGAAATGGAGGCAGAGTCTACATGGTTTAGAGTCTACATAGGGAATGAAAGCAAAAAAAAGCTTCAGTCCTATGTCAAAAAATAAGCAGAATGGGTCAACCTCTCAAGCTGTCCCCAAGGCCTGCAGACGCTGGTGGGCCCAGCCCTGCTCACCTATTCAGGTAGGAAGTGCCCGAGCTGGCAATCTCCTCTTGGCCCTGGGTCACGTAGAAGAACATCGGTTTATCAGGTTGGGGCCACTGGAAGTCAAATCCCTTCTTCACACGATCCGCTGTGATGGGGAGGGAAAGGGAACACCTCAAAAGCTGCAGCCTGCCTCACCTGAGACCAGACAGAGTGCCATGTAGATAGATGCCGCACTAGCGCTGCTGAGGCCCTTGGGGCAGGAGCCCTCGGTCTGTGAGGCCCTGGTGAGGTCACCTGAGCTGGTCCCCTGGCCAGAGATGCCCTGTGTGTGTCCTTAAAACTGTAAAATCAGCTTCTCAATCCACACACGCCCCCCTCACCCCACTGGGAGCTTCGATTGGTTTGAGAAAACCGGTGTTTTGGGACAGCACCAGCCTGACATGGAGAGAGGATGGCAGACCCGCCGGGACACGCTGTATGATCCCACGTTGAACGGAAAATGAGGCCAAGTACATCACTATTGTTACAGCGAGCGCAGGGCACCACGTGAGCTCAGGTCCCTCAGCCCAGAGGCTGCTGTGGACATGCAGTCACAGGCAGCAAGTGTGGCCGCCTGCATGGATGGCAGCTTCTCGCAGCTGGTCAGGTGGTCGTGGGTTCAGGCGCTGGCTCTCCAAATACTCTCACTTAGTGATCACTCACTGAGCCAGATATTTTGATGTGGCCGCATGTTTACACTTCAGTAGAGAACTTCCTAAAGTGTACTTACTGGGTGTGAACGTGTTATGCACCGATTAGAGCCGTGCACACCAGCGTCTGCCCTCTGAGCCGATGCCCTGCAGACCATGAGGGGTCTGAGCCTGCGCCGAGCCACGCCTTTCCCAACCAGTGCTCAGGCACCCCAAAGCACAAGCAAGGTCTCTGCGGCCTTGCGTGTTCAGCCCTGCTACGCGCTGGTAACAGTGGTGTCCCCGTGATGTCAACAGTGGCATCAACTCCCAGGACCTACCACTCAGCAAACAGTGGTGCGGCCCAAGCCGGAGGATGGGCTCTGAGCCTCAGTTTCCCCTGTAAGGAGGCCTGACAACAGGTTTGGAGTTCACGAGGTGCTGCGTCGGCAGCTCTCAGGACTCCTTTAAACTCCTAAAAGTCCGGGAGTCCAAACAGCTTCAGTTCATGTGGATTACTATATTCTCCAAACTTAGAAATTAAAAAAATGTATTAATTCAAAAGTAACCCATTGCACGTTAGTTATTTCTCTAAAAATAAGCTAAGTGAGAAGAGCGGCCCTATCTGCTGTTTTGTGTCTCCTTACTATCGGACTGAATGGGAGACAGCTGGGCCTGGCATCCGCCTCTGCTCAGTCCACCATCCTGGGCTCCACCGAAGGGGTGGGGAAGCCAGGCCGCAAGGATGCTGTGGCTAGGAAAGGGAGGTGGGTTTGTTTCTACAGCCTTTCTGCAGGGCCAGGAGTCTCCAGCCCTGAGGCCATGCCAAGCTGGGCAGAGGTGGGTTTCTGAAGGCCTGTGACAACCCTTTGCCACTCCAACCCCATGTCACTTTGTGACACTCTGCATTGGTCATTCAGGAAGATCTCCCACCAAGTCAAGCAGATCTTCCAAAGGCTGAGCCATTTCACGGGCAACAGTGGAAATGTTCCATCTCTCACCCCAACAGACCTCACCAGAAAAATCTCTAGATATTGGGAAGACAGCAAGCTCACGGCAGGCGATGTTAAGTTTTCCAAACTTCTGGTTTTCACTTGAATTTTACTTCTGGTAACAGATGCCCCTTCTTCTCCGTGAAGCCCCAGGCTTGCTCATTTTTGGAAAAAGGTCTGCCCATACCTCGGGGTGAATATGCAGGGTGTGTCCACAAGCCCTTGCTTCAAGCGCCTCACACACCCGAAGGTGTCACGGGAACTTCTATCTGGTCACAGTAAAACACTCGAGGCTTAGTAAGACTCATGTTCACTTCCTCATTGGGGCATTACTCCCTGTGATCCCAGCAGTCCGGTTGCTCTAAGCCGACTCTTGCAGAAGCACCATTAGGTCACCAGCAGCACGAGTGTCAGCAGAGTGAAAAAGGGCACACGAGGCCTCTGTGTTATCCAGGGAAGCTGGATGTGGTCTTGCGGGCCCCAGAGGCCCAGGCCTTGAGAACCGCTGCTCTTCACAAGCACTGAACACAAGGCCCACGTGAGGCCGGCGCTCAGCTCTACAACGCCTGGCCTTGCAGCTGTGCATGCCACCACGTGAGGCTCAGGGGAATTCTGAGGCAATGACTGAGTTTTAATTTAAGGACACAGGTTCCCCACGTGCCCCAGAGACACCATTCGGGCCAAGACCATACCACCAAGACCTCGGGACACAAAGTGCCCTGAACGCAAGCAGTCACTGTGTGAGGCCACTCGGGAAACTGATGAGCCAGTGTCTTCTCCCTGGCCACATTCCCTCAGTGCCACTTCTCTGCAGAAGCCCCTGTCCCGGGCAGAGCCCTGTTACCTGCAGTGACACCGTTCTGGAGGGAGCCCTCGTAGAATATGTTGGATGGGAAGGCGCTGAGTGCAGGGTGCATCCGGTACTGGACCTGCAGGCGGATGGGCCGGATGCCCAGCACCACGAGGCGCTCGAAAAGGGACTGTGACAGGCCAGCCTTGGCCGCCTTCTTGCACATCACCACCGGGCCCAGCTGGCAGTGGTCACCCACGAGGATCAGCTGCAGGGAGAGGGGCCCCCACAAGTGCGAATTGGCCTCAACACGTGCTAGCGAGGAAGCAAGGGACCCCAGCGTGCACAGGGCACCACCTGGCCACAGGGGCGGGAAGACTGCTCACCACACATGCAGGCTGTGCAGCTGGCAGAGCCCACCCTCTCTAAACCCCTCAGGGGGCCCGTGTGTGTGTGCGTACCCTGCTGGGCATCCCAAGTCAACACAGGGTGTTTTTAAAAGACAAAACACCAAAAATGGCACACACTAGTTTTCCCACAGGTGAGGGAAGGGGAGATGGCCCACCTGCTTAGCCCCGAGGACCACAGGAACCATGCACTCTGGCTCGGTGGCCTGGGTGCTTTCGTCGATTAAAATGGAGCGGAATTGCATCTTGGCCAACCTCGGATCGCCAGCGCCCACACATGTGCAGCAGATGACATCTGCATTCTGGGGAAAGGTTCGGAGGCATCAGGGCACCTGCCTTGTGAATGTCACCAGACCCCGGAGGGCAGGCAGCACAGGATGCAGCGGTTCTCCTGTTCCTCACCCTCTCTGACTATGAAAACAAGCTGTCCCTCCTAGACAAGACACACAGTCAAGGGTTGTGGTGTCCACCAACTTTTAAGGTCCTTAAACGGCCATGTTTCACAGAAGGCAACCTCTCCACACCAAGGGCTTTGTGCCACTCAACAGCCTCCAAGGGGATCAGCAGTGATGAGCCGCTGAAACCTGCACGCAGGCTGATTCCAGTTTGGGCTGGTTGGTTATGAAAAAGCAGCAAAGAGTGTTCTAGATCCACTGCCGGGTCCCAGTGGAGGCTGGGATGGGAGACTCCCTAGAAGCCCGTGTTCCAGGCAGCAAGACGTCCCTAACTCTGCGAGTTGAGCGCAGAGAAGGCAGGTAGAGAGTACTGAAATTCTCCAAAAGCAAAGCAACGACTCAAACAGGGGCTCTGGCCCAAACCAAAACCATCAGGCCACCGGCCCACAGGCCCTTTGGGGCGGGAGGGGCACCCACCATCAGCAGCTCTCTCTCTGCGGTGCGCTTCAGGGCCCGGTACCGCTTCTCATCGGCCGAAGACAGCTCCCCGGTCTCGTCTTTCAGCTGCTGCAGCTTCTGCAGCTCGGGCATGCTGGAAGCACACGTGGGTCAGCGGGATGCCTGAGCTCCGCACACGCCACCCGTGGCAGCTCAGGGACCAACCGGGAAGGATGGACTCGACACACACCTGTCCATGTTCCTGATCTGGTTGTGCAGGGCCAGGAAGGACACCGGGGAGTCGATGGCCTCACGGCTCTTGGCACAGAGACGCACGACCTTCAGCCCCGTCTGGTGGATCTTCTCCGTCAGCTGGTCTACAGCAATGTTGCTTGGGGCACACACCAGCACTGGCCTGCAACACCATTCAGGAGGCTCAGTGCTTACTCAGAGAAAGCTTGGTGAATGTAATAACCCAAGACTGTTTTTTGAGACAGGGTATTGCTCTGTCTCGAGTGCAGTGGCATGATCTCAGCTCACGGCAGCCTCAACATCCTGGGCTCAAGCAACCCTCCCGCCTCAGCCTCCCAAGCAGCTGGGACTACAGGTACATGCCACTACCCCCCAGCTAATTTCTGAAATTTTTTTTGTAGAGATGAGTCTCCCCCTGTTCACGCTGGCCTTAAACTCCTATCATTTTTAACAGGCAGTAACGATGCTGAAGGAGCCCCAAGCGCCGCAAGCAATGCCAAGGCTGGAACTCGCCCTCCCGCCACACTGTGAGGCGCCTTCACAGTTCTGAGACAAGTACACAGAACTCACACTGCAGCAGCCACCCCTGAGGCTGGAGCTGACACGAATATGTCACATGGAAAGCAGGAGGCACCACAGCGACACTACCCGCCATGTGCTCTCCTAGGTGTGACAGAGCCCGAGGCTCCCGGCAGTAGGCCTTCCATCTGGCCACCCCAAAGCCCTCCCAGGTCTCACCCGCAGGGGTCGTGCCAGTCCTACCCGTTGCCTTGCCGGGCCAGGTGGTAGACGATGGTGGCTGACGTCACCGTCTTCCCTGTGCCTGGCGGGCCCTGGATCAGGCTCAGCGGTCTCTGCAGCACAGTCTTCACGGCATAAACCTTCAATACAAGCAGCCGTTAGGGGCAGCCACTGCCTGTGTCCCGGCTCGTGGGCAAGGCCCCGCGCGCTGAGGACGGCGCGCACCTGGGAGTGGTTGAGGTCAGGGAGGCCCTGCGCCGTGAAGCGCTTGGGCAGCTGGCACTTGATGATCACGTCTTCTACCTCGTGGCCCAGCAGCTTGTGGTAGATGTAGCCGGACACCGAGGTCTCGTCCACAGCAAACGTTTTCAACGCACTCTGCATCCTGTGATGAGGGTGTGGGGTCGGGGACATGCACAGACAGCCGTAGCCGCCTCAATGGCATCCTGAGCTCGCAGAGCTGGGTGGGTGGGGAGCCCCAGTCCACGGTGATGGGGAGTCTCATAAAGATGCCACAGTGGTAACCAGGGAACAGGGGGCAATGGTAGGAGGGGACGTACCTGTCAAAGGAGGTCGACTTCCACACAAAATCCACCTGGAAATTGTGAGTCACCTCCACGGGTGCACCCACGCTGCTCCGCAGCTCAATGGCGATCTCATCGCCATAATCTGTGTGCTGAGTTAAGTTTGCATCCTTGTCAAAAGCCGGGCTGACCTTTCTGGGCCACCCTCAGTACACCACTCTTTAAATGATGTTTTAAAAATTTAGTTACTTAAGACACCACTGCTGTACAACAAACGCTAAAAACGTGTAGCCAACACCGGACCAGAGACCAGAGGGGTGGCGTCCATGAAGACAGACTCTACCTCACCATGAGCTGGTGTCCCACCCCAGCCAGCCCGAGTTCCTCCTTGCCACCCCAGCCCCTCATCTGGGCCCTTCTCAGAGACGCAGAGGGCAGCAGCGAGGCCAGCAGCGCTCACCAGCAGGGAACAGCCACATCCTGGGCCCCAGGACCCCAATGGGGGTTCCTGCACATGTGGCCAGCAGGGGCGGGCAGGGAGCCCTGGGAGCCCAAACACAGCAGCTCTTCTCACAGCTCCCCATAAACAGCGCCACCCCAGTACGGCCAAGCACAGGGCTCCACATACGTTAGCAACCTGCCCTCCAGGAGGCTGTGGCCCTCAGGCAACAGTCTTCCCTTGACCCCAAGCCCCAAAATCAGTCTCCCATGTTCAGGATGAGCCTGTCAGATACAGAGTGGGTGTCAAGAGATGGCTTTCCTGACCCTCACCAAGGCCACCACTGGATGGTCAGAAACCAGCAGCATCGGCCAGTCACCAAGAAGCGGCCTGAGTTAGACCCGCAGTGTCTTCTCCTAGGACCCCTCCCCGCCCGGGCCTCCGACTGCACCTGTGCCTTAAAGCTGCCCCACTCTGGCGGGCAGTCTGGGTCACCATGAGGTCACTGCACATCCCTACACGTGGCCTGGGAGCAGTTCAGAGGGTCTGCATGTGACCCCTGGCTTCTGGAACCTCCATGTGTACTGTTAAGTGTCCAGGTAAGGCGATCCTGCAGCCACATTAACCTGCAGAGTCAGTCCAAGGACGCTTCGCACAAGTGGCATCACCAACATCACCATCTGGGCAGAGGGGAGGCACCACACAACCACCTGTCCCTGAAGGTGAAGGCCCTGAGGTTTTCCTAAGAGCAGTGGAGGGCGGTGCCAACCGGCATCCACCACGGAGCGTGAGATGCTGGCCGCCCCCACTTTCCTCTCCCACTGGCCGGCCGCACCCCTCCACGTGAAGGATACTATCAGGGACCTTGATGACGTGGCCGATCCCTTTCCACAGGGGCGCGAGGTCCCCTTTGTACCGCAGGCATATCTCATCCCCCTGCATGAGCCGCATGTCTTGCGGTGAAAAGTGAGAGAGGTGGCCATTTTAACTCGCGGTGTGGCTTCCACCAGGAAGAGTTCAAATTAAGGGGCACTTTACAAGGGTGGAACTAGGAATTTTATGCTACTTATGGTCACAAATATTTTAAAACTTAAAATCACCTCTTAACCAAATTATGACTAAATCCTCATTACCAGAGTCAGTCTTGGGCAAAGTGAAGTAGGCGATTCTCTTCTTGTTAAGGCCCAGGTCCCACCTGACCGTGATGTTATCTTGAGTCTGAGCACATGAAAAACAAGAGCCCCGGTTAGCCTCCAGCACAGGCCGGGGCCTGGACTCCACACGCCCGAGGCCCCATGAGGTAGGGCCCTACAGTAAGCCTCTGCCATGACAGCGGGTGCCATGAGTGGCACCCAACAGCCCCAAATACCACCAAGGGCACATCTGAAAGAGAAGCCATTAGGAGTCCCTGGAACACACACGAGCCGATCCTGTCTGGAGGCTGCATCACACACCAGAGGCCTCCATGGCCAGGGAGCAGCTGCTGTGGGAGGGAGAGATGGGGAGCAAGAGAGGAGGGGAGAGAGAGAAAGAAGAGGGGAGAGAGAAAGAGGAGGGGGGGGAGAGAGAGGAGGGGAGGGAAGGAGAGGGGAGGGGAGGGAGAGAGGAGGGGAGGGAGAGAAAGAAGGGGAGGGAAGGAGAGAAGGGAGGGAGGGAGGGAGGGGAGGGGAGGTCCCATTATTTAAATTCGGTCTTCACAGGGATCAGGCCCGAATCTGTAACTCTCGCAGCTGTGGGCAAAGCTGTGGAACCGACTGGGAGAGATGCTGGATTTAAATGGAAAACACGGAGGCTGTTGTCGGCTCTGAGAGCTGGGCCCAGACACCGGCCGCCCAGCCCAGATCTGCAAGCTCTCGGGGGTCGCAGCTGCAGCCCACATCAGCTCCCATGGCCTGGAGACAAATGCGCCCTCTGGAAGCCTGAGGAGAGACGCTGTGAGACAGAGCCCAGCCCAGGCCTTCCTGCACACATCACCTGGGACTCCTTCAGCTTCTTGTCATAATCGGCCTCCAGCTTGACCAGGGGCCCGAATATGTTCTGGTACTGGTAGGCGTCCTCGTACCGCAGGAGGACGTGCTGCGGCTCCTCATCCACCCCCGGCTTCTCCAGGTCCTCCAGAGTGGCGGAAGGATTTTCCTAGAAGACAAGAACACCAGTGCCACGCTCATCCCTGTGTTTCCCCACATGCAAATGAACAAGGGTGCAGAGGCACCAGAGGGACAGAGAACACATATCACTTCTCAGAACAGGCTACGGTGGGTGGTGCACAGCCACACCCCCAAGAACCCTGAGAACAGGAACTCCATGCCACATGGAAAGCTGGGTGCTGGCCTGGCCTGTACCTGGCCCCCAGCTGCTGCTCCTCACCCCAGCAGGGTTCCAGCAGTCAGCTGACCAGCCTACAAAGCCCCAGGCACGAGCCCGACACACTGTCCACAGCAAAGGGCACCCTCAGAACCGGCTGCTTCCACCAAGCACACCCAGCTTGTGAACAAGAGCAGCTAACACTCCTTGCAGGCGCCACAGAGACCACAGGTTTCTCTCGCTGTGCCCACAGCCCAGGGGGCCCATCTCCCATGTCTGCTAACCCTGAGCCAGACCAATGTGGGCCTGCAGCTCTTCCCCTGGGGTACAGCTCCCTCACTGAGCGCCACGCTGGTGGGGATAGAACAGTATCTGGGCTGTTCAGAAATAAACAGGAATCATGAAATCATCTGGCAACCTGAAAATCCAAGTGGAAAGTTTCCTGGCTGAACAGAGCTCAAAAAATAATTCAGCTTCCACTTAAAATTCTGATGTGAGATTTCTGACTGAATGGGAGGCAAATGCAAACTTCTAACCTAGTTATCAGAACTTACTTCATCACAAAATCCTCAAGAGCTGAAACCAGAAAAGGGCTTCCATGGGGAAAAGTGAGGGCTGTCTGTTGAGGGAGGACCAGGAACCCGCTAGTGACCCCGCACCCTTCCGTCTTCCCTCTGCTCAGCTGACTGTGCCAACCTCGGCCCCAACATCTTTCCCCAGGACACTCTCGCAGCCCTCCTGTCTATGCAGGTCCAGGCTCTGCTGGACAAGTCCACCCACAGCCAGTCCCGTCCTTCCCCTCCCACCACCACCCATCCTCACCCCGGCAACACAAGAAAAATTCCAACAGCCAGAGCTTTCCTTTCCCAAGGCCAGGCTCTTCTCAGTCAGGTGAGGCTGCCTAGACGGCAGGTGACCAAGGCACCCTGACGACACTCCACACGGAGGTGGCAGAGGCCTGCCTGAGTTCCTTCTAGAGAAACTCCAGCGGTCTCATTAGGTTAGCCAACTCTGAAAACATCCCCCTCCCCACAACCAGAAACCGCACCTTGTGCGGGTCGGCCTGCCGGGCAGCCTCACCTTCCAGAGCTCCTCCAGCTTGTTGATCTGCTGCGCCGTGATCTGGCGCGCCCGCAGCTGCTCCTGCTCGGAGGGGATCTTGACCAGCCAGGACAGGAAGCAGCGGTCCTGGATCAGTGGCTGCCACTGCGAGCTGTCCCAGTTGATGTCTTTGAGGCTGCTCTGGCTGGCACAGGGCTGCCTGCAGAGTGGAGGGCTGCAGTGAGGACCAGCTCCCCTCCCTGAAGCCCCGAAGCCGGGAGGGCCCCCTCCCATGCTGACCTTTCACCCAAACGGGTGTACCCTGAGTTTTATTATGTGATCACATTACCTTTAAACTTTCAGTAATAAATCCCATCTCCCCGCGCACTTGAGCTCTGAACTCTTAAAATTCAGAACAGACTTTGTTTTTACAGAATTGTTTTTATGATTTAGCCAGAATGCCCCCAACAGTTACATGGCATTGCCGACTCCCTAACAAGCCTCAGCCCCTAAACGCTCTTATGCCTCACCCCTCAGCAAAAACCATCTCTGGAGCACAATTCCCTGGAGTTAGAGCCACAGTAAGGCTTGCGAGGAGACGGCTGGAGCTTAAAGGTCATGCCGGGGGCCAGCTGGGGACCACTCACCTGCACAGCAGCACCACCACTGAGTCAGCTTTGGCTGGGATGAAGCCGAGGAGGAAGACATTGCGACAGCCGCAGTTGTAGCACTCCAGGACTGTCTCCCCCAGGGGCCCGTCCTTGTGCAGGGTCACTTCTTTACATTTTGCCCTCACAAGGTGATTTACAATGTGGCTGAAACCAGGAAATGATAAATGATTAACACCCAAAGTTTGGCTTTTCACCACTTCCAATTTTCGGGCCCCTGTGAAAAGTTCCGGTACCGTTCACGGTCCATTAGCAGAGGCGGTCACACCTCATCCATATGGCATCCCTGGGGACCAGCCCTCCTCCAAACTAGCTCCCCACCGAGCACAAAAATCAATCAATCCCAACTTGAACCACTTTTAAGGGAAACTTCCTTAACACGGTTCATTCACATAGTTCTGCCTTTTTTAAAGATCCTGCTTTCTTAAATCCAACTTATCAGGCCTAATTTAACCCATTGCTGTGCTGGGGCTGCTGTGGGGCCAGAGACATTTCCCACAAGGCCCCGGCCAGCCCCCTTCTCTCCAACGTCACCTCCCTGCCATCTTTCATGGCTTCTTCTGAAGTCACTCCTCAGAGGCTCTGTGCCCACCTCCAGGAGCAACAGTCACTCCTGATTTGCTGCAGGCTGGGAAACCCGAGAGCAGTACGAGGGCTGAGCAGAGGTGGGGCTGCTGTGCAGAAGCCCAGGGCCACGGCGGAAGCCCTGGCCATCTCGACTCGTTGCTGTGACGTGGCTAGGACACCGCTCGCCTAAACCACGGTCTAGGCTGAACCCTGCCCTGTGCCAAGCCAGCCACTCTCGGGCACCCATCTGCCGTTTCGAACGAGGGTGTGCAGCCACTCTGCCTTCAGGCTGTTCCAGCATCATCAGCAGCTCTGAACACGCCCGTGGGGCCTTCCAGCCTTCATCACTGGGCCCTCTCTTCCCCTGGAAAACCCTTCCTGTTAAAAGCTTCAGCTCAGCCAACCTTCTAACCCTTCTCCCTGCCATGAGACCCAGGATTCTCTAACCAGCCATGGCCGCTCTGGGCATCCCCAAAGCCCAACTCCTCTCTGGAGCCCCATCAGCCACGTGGGCAGAATCAGCGGTCTCCATGTCTTCCCATGCATCGTCCCCGTCGCAGCCAAGCTCCTGGAGGGCCGGCAGCTGCGTCCTCACCTTCCCCCGGGCCTCGCACAGAACGTGCACTGGTGCTTGGCTCGAGCCTGCTGTTTCTCAGAGGCCCTTTTGCTCACTTCCCTGTTCTTGGCTGTGCTGACCGGAAGCTGGGGTTGCCAGCTAACAGAAGTTTTATTTAGTTGCTTTTCCTACACAAGAGGAACTAAATGCAAACATAGCAACACTTAAAATTACCCAGAAGATTCTGAACACGGGACAAGAATGTCTTTAGAAGATTCTGAACATGGGACAAGAATGTCTTTTGGTTATCCAGAAGACACTTTTCTTTTAACATCGTTTAAAAACGGCAGCCCCTTTCTTACCTTGCTCATAGCACCACATTTCAAGTTACTAACTCAGAGATGCCATGAGATCTGACTGCTCCATCTGTGAACCTCTGAGACTCACAGCTGCCATAGGCACAGGAAGGAGGGATGTCTACACAAGAAAGCCTGGCTCCGGGGCTTTGGTCATTTTCTTTCACCAGAACGTGAACCTCAGAAAAAGCCCCCATTTCCTTGCTGGCACCTCGGAGCTCCGCCTCCCAGGCTCTGCTCTATCCTGTCCAGCAGTGAACTGAACTGTACACAGCAGGAAGGGGAGCCGCTGGCAAGGGACCCACCAGGATGAGAGTCCTACCAGTCGGGCAAGACTATCAAACTCCCTCCTGGAATTGGGGCACCAGGAGAACACTGGTCGGGTCCCAAACATAGAACACGCGACCCAATCCAGCTGCAGCTGATCAAAATCAGGAAGGCAAGCCTAGCGCCGATGGTCAAGTGAACTTAGTCGAAGCCAGGGATTCAGGATCTGGCCTGAATTAGCCTCCGGATGGCTCCGATGAGCTCAGGCCAGAGTGAGGCTGCTCAGGAACCGGCGCCCCTGGATGCCCGTTACTGCCTTGGGAACATCCTCCCGTTAATGAGACCAATGGGTGTGCCAAGAGCTCATCTTGCAGAATAATCGAAATAAAAACTGGAAACCAGAATTAAGCCAACCCTACTTGCATAATAAAAAGAGCCGCAGAGAATAAATCAAGGGTAAATACATTAAGGCATTCACACACCACCATCTGTTTCAAGTTAAACCAGTCACAGAGAAGGAAAAAAAAACCAGGTTTGTTAGCGTGATTTTACATTGCGCTTTGCTTCAACATTTCCATAATTTACACACAAATCTGAGTACAGCGCTGATTAAAGACACATGCATGGCTTGATTATCTACCTGCCAGAAGTATTTCCACGTCCATTGCAGAACCACTTCTTGCTGGTATTACAGTAAACCACGCAGGCAGGATCGTGTATTCCACAGTAACTAAAAAATCAAAACAGCGACAGTTACAGCTGGAAGCTTGCTCTCTGGTTTTCATTTGGCAGGATGTAAAATTCTTTCCTCTTACAACATTTTTAAGTGCTTCATTAAATACATACTCAACCCCAACCATCTCAGTAACCAAATCAAACCAGTTAAGCAGGGCTTCCCAAACCTGAGAATGCAGGGAAGGAGTTGGGTATGTGGCAGAAGCTCCGAGGGATGAGGAGCAAAGCCACCTCCCGAAACAGAGTCCTGCCAAAGGGAGGCCTCACTCCTCCAGGGCCATTCCAGTCCCAGCTCTTGGCCTGAAATTCAGGAACCCAGGCTCATCAGACACAGTGGTCACGGTGCGCTCTGGACTCCAGCAGAGGGCACTGTGCTCCCGGGGAGCTGGGCACAGACCCTGCAGCAGCAGCGCCCTGAAGCTCCTGCCCCACAGCCCATGCAAGCAGCCTCAGGAGAGCCCCATCCCATCCCTGACTGTGGTTTTCTGAAAATCCACATACCAAACCCAAAATGCAAGCTCCCCGGAGCTGCACCATAACTTACAGGCATCTCTGTGCGTTGAGAACGTGATCGCATACATGAAAACATTTGTAAATTAGAACAAGTGAAGAGCTGAGATGAAGGAAAGAGTGTGGGGAGAGCACTCTCAGTCTCAGAGCGCTGAGCAGCACGCAGAGGAGGAGCTGCAAGGGGGGCCCTAGGTGGGAGCCCACAGGGAGAAGCAAGGTCCAGGCCCAAAGCTGCCCTGACCAAAACCTTCTCACCTCTTCTAATCTACGTTTCCTCACGTGTGTCACAAAAATACAGAAATAAGCCCCAAAAAGGGACGATCCTGCTGGAGATGAGAATTCTAAATCTGTCAACACGCAGGTCTACCGTCTTCACACCCCATTTTCCAGGCATGGCCAAGGCACCCTGCGGCAACCACTGTGTAAGGACATCTCAGCTGCTCCGCTCACCCTCCGACCCCAGATGCTCACCCAATGCTCTGACAAATTCTAATGAGTGAGTGGCAGGTACTAGGCAATGCCTCCGGGGCCTGAGGAGGCCAAAGGAAGGAAAACTTTTCCCACCAACTGGTGAATTCGGGGTGTGGAAGGTTGCTGAGCCCATCTCCTGACTGGTATCAGGCCTCAGCTGTGCACACAGTCTGAGCTACTTCCTTACTCCCGAGGACACACCACCCAGAGTCACAGCACAAGGGTGCCATCCTATACCTGGGAGACAAGTGTCCCAGGCCTGTGCCAGAGGCGCCCACCTGCCCAGCACATGCCTAGCTCACCTGCAGGCGTGTATGGGTAGGTCCTTCGTATAATAGGTGTCTTCTTCATCTTCCTCGAAGTTCAACTCGGCCAACAACTGGCTGGTCTTGGCTACACTGTCGTCCACAGCCCCGTTCTGCAAGATGCCTTCGGGTCCAACCTGCAGGGGAATGCAGTATCACCCAAGTGAGGCTGCAGCTTCCGGGGCTCAGCACAGAAGGACTAACGTCAGTGACTCTGGTGTGATGCTTTGAGACAATTTCCCTTGTTCTGACTGGATTTCATTCTTTTCTAGCAAACCTACCGGGCCAAAAAAGAGGTACTGGTGGCCTCTGGCACTCCCCGCCGCCCCCAACACACAGCCAGTCTAACTATCGTCTAGCCACAGAGCCATGTCCATGTCCACAACCAGGACACCTAGGAAGACGCTTCTTTCCCACATGACTGAGGACCACAAGGAGCAGGGTGACTTTTACAGACTGATGGCCGTGTGCCCTGAGGACAGCTCCATGGCACCAGACCCACCACAGTACAAGGCTCATCAACACCAAGAGGCTGGCTGTCACCCATGAGGATGTAGAAACGCCACCAGCCACATCCACCACCACCTGGCCCTGCCCATCCTTCAGGCAGCCCTTCCTGAGGACAGAGTAGAAACTGAACACTGAGATACCTTTCCCAACCCAGGCCACACACTCACTAAAGGTGCCTCTTCCATATTCCTTCCCACAGCAAAGGCAGAGAGCACATGGCTCTAAGTCATCAGGCCACAAACTACACAGGACACCTGCAGGAGACCACACGGCCACAGGGGCTCCTCATGCCGCTCCCAGGAACCAGCACCTCAAATGACACGCCAACAATCCCTGGCATGGCCCCCACGGGCCACCTAACACCACCACGGGGCTAGGTCAGGCAGCAGGAGCACTGTGTCGTGACAGAACAAAGCGGTGGCACAAAATTAAGGGCCAAATGCTCATGGAGAGCAGCACCCCAGAGGCCCCGGCCACCCGCCTGGCTGCAGCGCGTGGACACATTCTATCTGCACACGTGCAGATGCACACTGGGCCCACTGCTGCCCTGCAGTGATCTGGCCACAACACAGCTTACTTCTGGGTTGTTAGTTTCTCCCTCCACTCTCTGAAAAGTTTTAAGATAAAACACTGATTTCAAAAACATTTGACCCCAGAAACTATCATGAAATGAGCAGTACTAGGGGACAGTGCCTGGCACAGAGAAGGCCCACAACCCACTCTAGGGGACATGACAGGTGAAGAAGAGGGTTGTCACCTTCAGCTGGCACAGGGTTGCCACTCCCACTAAGAAGTCCTTCCGGGCTGTCAACCTAGCCCATCACTAGGAAGGCTCTGGAGGGCAGGGCCTCCCTGTACCGACCCCAGGCACCCACCACTAGGCTGAGAAGACCAAGAAGCAACTCCTTGGCCAGACGCAGTAGCTCAGCCTGTAATCCCATCACTTCAGGAAGCCAAGGTGGGTCAATCACCTGAGATCAGGAATTCGAGACCAGCCTAACACGATGAAACCCCATTTCTACTAAAAATACAAAAAACTAGCTGGGCATGGTGGTACACGCCCGTAATCCCAGCTACTCGGGAGGCTGAGGCAGAACTGCTTGAACCCGGGAAGTGGAGGTTGCAGTGAGCTGAGATCACACCATTGCACTCCAGCCTGGGCGACAAAGCGAGACTCTGTCTCAAAAAAAAAAAAAAAAAAAAAAAAAAAAAAAAAGCAGCAGCTTCTTCTACCACCATCGTTGCTCTGGGCACAATATTTAAAGGCACATCCAAGAATTCCCAGTTCCTAGCCATACACAAGGAAGGTCCCAGAGCTGGGGTACCTAACTCCTTTAATACTGGATGTGAGCCGGGCGCGGTGGCTCAAGCCTGTAATCCCAGCACTGTGGGAGGCCGAGGCGGGTGGATCACGAGGTCGAAAGATCGAGACCATCCTGGTCAACATGGTGAAACCCCGTCTCTACTAAAAATACAAAAAAAACTAGCTGGGCGTGGTGGCGCATGCCTGTAATCCCAGCTACTTAGGAGGCTGAGGCAGGAGAATTGCCTGAGCCCAGGAGGCGGAGGTTGCAGTGAGCCGAGATCGCGCCATTGCACTCCAGCCTGGGTAACAAGAGCGAAACTCGGTCTCAAAAAAAAAAAAAAAAAAAAAAAAAAAAAATACTGGATGTGAACCCAGCTACGACTAAAACTATATCCTGGAAGTCCATCTAAGAGGTGTGCAGGGGCTTTCCGCCCAGAGACAGTTGCTCCTGACACACTCCAGAACTCAGACTGTACATGAGAGCAGCACAACAGTAGGGCACTTCAGGAGTAGGAAGGGCGGCTCGCATCGTCATCCCAACACTGGGAGGATCGCTTGAGGTCAGGAGTTCTTGAGACCAGCCTGGGCAACACAGCAAGATCCTGTCTCCACAAAAAAAATACGAGAATGAGCCAGGTGTAGTGAGCACTTGTAGTCCCAGCTACTCAGGAGGTTGAGCCCAGAGGACTGCGTGATCGCAGTGGGTCAAGGCTGCTGTGAGCTATGATGGCACCACCACACTTTAGCCTGAGCAACAGACGAGACCCTCTCTTTAAAAAAAAAAGGGGCAGCCTGACCAACACGGCAAAACCCCATCTCTACTAAAAATACGAAAAATTGGCCAGGCTCGGTGGCTCAAGCCTGTAATCCCAGCACTTTGGGAGGCCGAGGCAGGTGGATCACGAGGTCAAGAGATGGAGACCATCCTGGTCAACAAGGTGAAACCCCGTCTCTACTAAAAATACAAAAAAATTAGCTGGGCATGGTGGCGCGTGCCTGTAATCCCAGCTACTCAGGAGGCTGAGGCAAGAGAACTGCCTGAACCCAAGAGGCGGAGGTTGCGGTGAGCCGAGATCGCGCCATTGCACTGCAGCCTGGGTAACAAGAGTGAAACTCCATCCTCAAAAAAAAAAAAAAAAAAAAAAAAAAAAAAAAAAAAAAAAAAAAAAAAAAAAAAAAAAACAACGAAAAATTTAGCTGAGTGTGGCCAGGTATGGTGGCTCACACCTGTAATTCCAGCACTTTGAAAGTCCAAAGTGGGTGGATCATGAGGTCAGGAGTTTGAGACCAGCCTGGCCAACTTGATGAAACCCATCTCTACTAAAAATACAAAATCAGCCAGGTGTGGTGGTATGTGCCTGTAATCCCAGTTACTCAGGAGGCTGAGGGAGAAGAGTAACTTGAACCTGGGAGGTGGAGGTGAATGCTGTAGTGAGCTGAGATTGTGCCACCTATTCTAGCCTGGGCAATAGAGTGATACTCCGTCTCAAAAAAAAAAAAAAAAAAAAAAAAAAAAAAAAATTAGCCGATCAGGGTGATGCGCACCTGTAATCCCAGAGCAGGAGAATCACTGGAACCCAGGAGGTGGAGGTTGCAGTGAGCCGAGATCACACCAATGCACTCCAGCCTGGGTGACAGAGTGAGACTGTCCCCCCCCCCAAAAAAAAAAAGTCACTTCATTCCTACAGAGGAAAAGCACGAAAATCCAAAAACTCAAAAATCCCCCCAAATGTGCTGGCATAAACTCTCAGGCCACAGACATCTATTCCAACCCCTGCACGCACGCCACCACTGTCTGCACTTGCCAGCGCCCAGGACTTGTACCTGCTGCTCCTCAGCCCCTGGGTGAGAGGGGGCCTCTCAGGCAGGCATCCTCTGACTGCACCTCAGGGCCCCCATGGGGCATTGTCCATCCCACTCCCTGACTCGAGCTCAGCACCTAGAATGGAAGCCTGCACCCCAGAAGGCCCTCAACAGTGTTGGCTGAAGACCAAACTCAAAAGGCACAGTGACTCATCACTGGTTCTCTAATTCCAAGGCTTCAATAAAAGAGAGGGTAGGAGGCCGGGCACGGTGGCTCATGCCTGTAATCCCAGCACTCTGAGGATGTCAAGGCAGGAGGATCTTGAGCTCAGGGTTCTAGAACAGCCTGGGCAACATAGTGAGGCCTCATCTCTATTTTAAAACATTTTTTAAATTAAAAAAATTATAAAAGAAAAAAAGAGGAGGGAACAGGAAGTCAGCACAGCCTCAGAGTGATGGCTGCCAAGAAGCTGCAGGGTCTCTGCGCCCTCTCACGGGAGAGTGTTGCCAGGTGGTCTGGCCCCCAAATTGAAAGGACTGTGCCCTGGTATTTCCTCTTATTTGGAAAAATTCCAGCGCTACAGAAATGGGACCCACACCCCTCCGACTGGATGCCATCACACCCCCTGCACCCCGGCTCCCCCTCCTGCTCTCTCACACACATCTTTTCCTGAGCCATTTCAGAGATGCAAGCCCCAGGTCGAGGGCTTTCTCCACATCCCCACGAAGCAGCCAGTCAGGAGCACACCCGGCCCGCCACGCTGTCAGCTAATACACATTCACCCATCGCCCCCATGTCTTCATAACATCCTTTACAGGTTTTTAAAAATCCAAGACCCAGTTAATGACGGCACGTGATTCGTGATGTCTCTTTAGTCTCCTTTAGTCTGTTCATCTGAACCATGCAGAACTGCCGGGAGCTGAGCATACGAAGAAGGTAACTTCAACTTCACACGGCCCTACCACCCGGTACGGAGGTCCCAGGCTCTCCTTCAGTTTTCCGAGACAGGGTCTTGCTCTGCCACCCAGGCTGGAGTGCGGTGGTACAGTCATAGCTCACTGCAGCCTCAAACTCCTGAACTTAAGTCCCGAGCAGCTGGGACGACAGGCACGCATGACGCCCGGACAGTTTAATAATTCACTATGTTGCCTAGGCTCACATTCGTTCTCCCCAAAGAGGAGGCGCCTCTCGCCTCCCCTCTCACCAGTGGCACCCATGTGGATGGGGAGCCCCTGTTTCAGGCAGGTGTGCTCGAAGTCAGCATGAGGTTCATTTCAACGCTCGGAGTGTTCGAGGCATTCTCAGTTCACCTCAGGCCGCCCCTGCCTTCCCAGCCCGCCACTCCCAGAGGCCCACAACCTGAGATGAGAGCCACCCTACACCTTCGGCAAGAAGCCGACGTGACGATGAGGGGCTCAGTCCAGAAGCTGCACACCCCACAGGACAACAACCTGGCCCAGACTGCTCAGCAGCACGAAAAGCAGCGTGAGGGGCCGCTCAGAAAGCAGAGCCCAGAG